ACCATAGTAAAATGCTGTTACAAGCAGTCTTAAAGTATTCTGTGTGTGATTCTGTACTATAGCTTAATAACTACAATTATTATTTCATGAGGCATCATTAAATTTTATGGTAATTTTCCTACATATATAAAGCTTCTGCCCATTTGATGTACTAGAAATTCTTGTATCAAAATTAGTGTAAGTGATCACAAACACAAATATATAGTTGTGTTTTTGTAGCAGCATATTTTAAGTGAGTTTCAGTGCCCAGGCCAGGAGAAAATAATAAAGTTGCCAAATACAAAATAGATCCTCCTTACCCAGACCTATTTATCTGCATTTATCTTTTGAGGATCTATGTCTCTGTCCTTGTCTCTCTGACCCTGTCTCTATCATCCCTTTCTCTGTCTGTTTCTACCCCGCAAAAGATCTGAAGACAGAGAATTTATTCAGAGTCAGTAGTCTTTCTTCTTCTTAGTATAATTCCTTAGTGAAACATATGTAAAATATGGTTGTCAGTCTTTCGACCAACTATTTTACCTCTGAGATGATTGGTGTGGGTTAGAAATGTCGCTCAGTGGCACAGCACTTGCCTGGCAAGTGCGAGACCCTGAGTTCAATTCTCAGTACACACACACACACAAAGGAGAGATGATTTTTTTTTAATTTAGATATTTAGAGTCAAAATGTTCTTTATGGAAATTGATAGTTTGAGGTAAAAAAAAACATAAATATTTCTTCTATGTGTAACAATCTTACTGAGCATACTAGAAAAACTTTAATGTGATGTTCTAAATAAATGGAGGAGTGGAATGTGTGAGGGTGTTGTAAAGTGATTGCCGTGGCAAATATAATTTATATAGACAAGGTTAAAGTATCTAAATTACAGGTACTATAATAAAAATTGAAGTAGTGAATTATAAGAAAGGCAGCAGTCATTTTCCTAATTTATAGGGACGTATTCAAAAGTAAGTCTTGCCGTGTTTTGGAAGGTACCAGAAGAGGGTTTCAAGAGTGACATCCCTCATTCTTAAACATATTGTAGACTGTTATAGTCTCATCAATGCATAAGAATGAATATTGTCTTAATGTTTTTAGTTTGGAAGGCCTTGGGAAAGATGAAGGATAGTGCTTAATCTGTTATTTTGCCTATCTTTTCTGTACATGTAAAATTATGAAATTATTCTTCAATGCATTTCAAGCTTCTCACTTGGAAATGCTCATAAATTGAATGTTTCTAATAATGTAAATAAGTGCTTCTTAATTCCTGGACACTGTGACTCACAGTTCAAATCTTAAATTTTGACTAAGGTAAATGTAAATGTCCAAGACTGACCAGTCGAGTTTAAGTGGAGTTGTATATCCAAGACGTGTGCTTTTTGTTGTCGTTGTTGTTGTATAATGGAGTCACAAAGTCACAAAGAAGGATAAATTTGAGACATTTAGAAATGGGCCTAAGTCATTCTTTAAAATGAAATATATCAGACACATATGTGCCAATATTGTGAGACACTGAAAGTATAAATATAAACCAAAATATATAATAGACATTGCAAAATAGGAAGAAATTGTTCAAAAGGAAAGGAGAGCAGGAAGAGAAAAGGAAAGAAGAGAGAAGAAAAAATGCAAAAAGGTGGATACAATGAAAATAAAGACTTATAAGGAGGGAGAGAAAGAGGGCTTGAAGGGAGGGAAAGGGAAAAGAGGAATCAAGGTGCGTCATATATGTGCAGGCACAAATTCCCTGTGATGAGTGTGACCAAGAGAGGAAGGATGACAGGAAACTACCCTTGTGGCTAGGGAAAGTTTTCCAGCAAAGGAATGGCAGTAAGATGTGTTAGTATACATTCTTGGCATCTTTTATTACTTCTGCAATGTCCCCTTACATCATCATTTTCTCGTTTCACTATGCTGCGGACACTAGAGTCCCCCAGTTCCTAGACTATACCTAAGTACCTTTCTCAGCGGTGAGCCTTTCACAGTTTGTTCTAACTGCCATGTTTCCACAGGAGCTTCTCACAGCGCTTATTCTGATGGTCTCTTTGTTCCAAGTTGTCCCGCATTAAAACGGGAATCTTCCTCTTGTGTACCGAACTTAACTTTTAACAGTTTCTGAAAAGAATTTAGTAAAATCTGTAGTTTTCTTTATTTCTTTTTGTTTACAGGGCTATTTTCTGCTCTGCAGTCAGAATTTAAATTTTGTGAACCCACAATCTTCTCTATGCTTACTTCTCTGTCTCTAATGATTAGCACAATAATCAGCACATGTGTAAATTAATGCATTTAAATAATTTAATAGTAAAACATAGACTTCAATTTATCACTCTGAAAATCTCCTCCTCTTACTACACAGTTTTAGAACATAATGTTATTAACATGCTAACATTATTAGGCATAATTGATAAATACATACAAGTTATTGATGCAAAAAATGAGAAAATCACACATAAAGTAGCATTACCAACAATTAATGTTGCTATCAAGAAATATGCATGCTTAAAATATTCATTGTAACACTAATTTTTAAAGTTTTTGTACACAAAATGACTAATTGATTATGCTCAGGAGTGTGGCATCTGTAGTCAAACTGAATTTAAATCCTGGCTTGACTCTTTTATGCTTATGCAACTTGATATCTATATGCATCAGTATCTGTAACATTATCAAATAACAATGTCTTAATTAGATTATGAGCATTAATCAAATATGTATACAAAACCTGTTGTCTATAGTTATGTGCTCTTTAGATTCACTAATCATTTGTTTACTTACCTAAAAATGAGCTGCACAGAGAACTAATCTGCTTCTTACTTGTCTAAGTTTCTTGTTTAATTAACGGCAATTACATTTTCATAGTATTGGACCTGTGGGAACACAATATAGGTATTTAAATTTGAGTCATATTCAACCTAAATTAATCTTAATTGCACTGGTGATTTACATTATAAATCATATTTTTCCGTGGCATAGTTCTAAACTTTAATTCTCTTCTTAATCTGCTTAACAATAAACTCTTTAACTTGAACACAGGAAAAAATTACTCCTTTTATCTTGCTTCTTTATACTCATAGCATAAACAGAGAATCTACTAGTTAAACAGTATGACCCTTCTTCAACCATTATTGGCAATAATCACGCTACAGCAAAATTCTCACTTTCATTTTTGCTCACGGAAAATATATTTCTTTTAAATTTAGACATACAGAATAAAAATATATTGTCTGCTTAACCATTTCAATCCAGGAGATAATATCATCAACTTTGTCAAGGAATCTAATGTTTTATTAATGCAAGCTGTATCCTAAATTATTTCATTTTTGAAATGAAAAAGATATTTATCATAATAGTGGAGGATGTGATTCAAATGATTTTTCACTTAATGAAAAGCATTTAGTATTTTCCATAATTGGTTTTATAGATTCTTTTAAAGGGGAAAAAAAAACAACAGATTTTCTAATTTTAAATGGATTATAAGGAGTAGATGGGATGCTAATGTATCAAGATGATAACAGTGCCTATAAAGGTTAACAAGAATTTTTCTTGAAATCAAATAGTCAGTATTTATAGTACAAAGGTCTGCTGGTTGCCAATATGGTAACTTATTACAATGAGCAAAAGATGTTGATAATATTTCAGCAATGTGTGACCCACCTGTATGACACTGTGAGTGGGAGAGCCAGTTTTGTTCACTCCTTGTTCAGATGATCCACATTTCTAGCTTTTCCAACATTCTTGGAAGCCCCTTGTATTTTAGGCTTCACATGCACAACTTCACACACTGCCCTCTTAGAATCATACTGCCTGGCCACCCGGGTCTCCTAAAATCTGGTTAGAAGTCTTCCTGACCCCACAATGATTGCATTTTGCATACTCATTCATCAGCACCATGAGGATGATGCCACGGTCTGCCACCATCCGGAGAAGTAGCCAAGTCCTTTCGCATTTCGCTGGTGGATTCAGTGGTTTCCACATGCCTGAATGACTGAGCACAGCAAACTAAATCCCATGGCAATCAATTCTGCAAGCAGATCCTCTCCAAAAGAGTGTTCTGAGGCTGTCTTCTCAAACCCAGTTCCTTCAGCCTTGAGGCTGCAAAGAATGCAGTCCTGCACATGCCCTCAAGCCACTTAATGCTCATTTTTTCAGGTCTCCTGGGATACAGCTTTGTAGGACTCAACTTTACTGAACTTCCTTTCTGGCCAGACTTAAGACTTTTTAAAGCATTTAGTTGGACCATTTTTCTTGTTTCTCAGTACAGAACTGACTACAAGCCTCTAACAGTAACCATTCCACAGCAACATTATGGTAGTTTGAAATTTCTTTTGCAGAATCAATGAGTCTGCCAAGCTTGATTTCAGTATCTATCAATGTCTTAGGATAGAAATGTAATGCAGAAAAGTTTTCTGCCACAGCATAACACACATGGCCTGGAGTTTAACTGCCAATGTATTCCTTTTGTACCAACTGAAATTTCCTCAGTTTGTGATTTACCAGCTGCATTTTGATTAGGATTTTGCTCTCCTAATTGTGACTAGAATCGCCCATCAAACTCTGTTTAACACATTCTAAGGTGGCTTCTTCAGCCAGCGTCTCCTAACCTTTCCAGTGTCTTTATATGAACCAGTTTCAGTTCTAGAGGCTTCTGAACCACATGGTCAGGTAGACTCACAGCAAGGACCTTACCAAAATCTTAGTTACTTTCTTATCACTGAGACACAATATTTGATATCTGCAAATAAAAGGAAGAAGCATTTATTTTAGTTGACAGTTGGCAGAACTTTTCAGTCCATAGCTGGCAGGGCAGCATAAGTTTATAGTGATGGATATGATAGTCCTCACGAAGGTTGGGAAATTTTTTCTGTAAATGATTACGTAGTGCATATTTATGGCTCTGTGGGCATTAGCTATAAAGAAGACATGAAAATTCGGTGTTAAAGAAAACTTTCCTAGAAAAGGAGGTGGCTTCAATCAAGGATGCAACTCTGCCTCCACAAACAGAGATGGCCCTGGGTACCAGGATTCAGTGATGTCCCCTGGCACAGATGTGACCCTGGCCAACAATGCGTTTTCAGCTCAGGATGTTGTACAACCTTTAGAAACAGAGGTGGCAGCAGTTCGAAAAGACATGGCGATGGCACAGAGCCAGGAAGGGCTAAGTGAAGATTCCCAGCTAGTGTCTCTCCCAAGTAAGGGAGGCTCACCTGCACCTCCTGGCCTGATTTCAACAGAACCAATCAAAAACACAGGCCAAAAGTATAACTTGCCAACTGATGAAGAATCTGGGATACAGAAATTAGAACAGAAGAAACCACTCAACAGTCAGCTTTCTGAAGCTTCTTTGGAGACCCCAGGAATAGCCAGGCCAGAAGAAGGAAAGGAGGCTGTGAGTCCAGAAATGACATCTCTACCCCACCCAATAAGGAACTCCCACCCAGCCGAGAGACGAGAACCAAGCCTTTGGCCACCACTCAACCTGCAAAGACTTCAGCATTGAAAGCCAAAACACAGCTCACTCTTGTCCCTAAGCAGCCAGCTCCTACCACCTCTGGTGGGGTGAATAAAAAACCCATGAGTCTTGCTTCAGGCTTAGTACCAGCTGCCCCACCCAAACGCCCTGCTGCTGCCACTGCCAGGACTTCCACCTTTCCTTCAAGAGACCCCAAGCCAAAGCACATTACAGAGGCGAAGGTTCCTGAGAAGCAGGCCCTACCATCCAAGCCCGCCTCAGCCCTGGCTTTCCGCTCGGGGCCCAAGAGCATCTCAGCTGCTCTGAAGGTTGCACCAGCTGCTGCCCCTGCTTCCACAGGGCCAAGCAGTAGAAGTCCTCCAGTGTCAGCATCCAAAAGGCCTGCTGCTCTTAAGATGGAGGGCAGATCCGCAGACACTAAGAAGATGACGGTGAAGTCCGCACCAGCTGACTTGAGTCGCACCAAGGGTACCCCTACCAGCTCTGGGAGGAAAGCCACCACTCCTACAGGGGCAGCTCCTCTGGCCACAGCGGCCCCCACTCGGGTCAAGCCTACCCCACTTTCCCGGCCCTCTGTGTCTCCTTCCGTGGACAAGAAACCCACTGTGGCCAAGCCCAGCTCTTCTGTCCCCAAGCTGAGCCACCCAGCCACTGCAGTCCCTGCCCCCGATCTGAAGAACATCCGCTCCAAAGTTGGCTCCACAGAGAATATCAAGCACCAGCCCGGAGGGGGCCAGGACAAAATAGAGAAAAAAACAGAGGTGTCACCACAGCTCGAAAGCCTGAACCTAATGTAGTCACTAAAACAGCTGGTCCTGTTGCGAGCACACAGAAATCGCCTGTTGGGAAAGTCCAGATAGTCTCTAAAAAAGTGAGCTACAGCCATATTCAGTCCAAGTGTGGTTCCAAGGACAATACTAAGCATGTCCCTGGAGGTGGGAATGTCCAGATCCAGAGCCAGAAGGTGGACATCTCCAAGGTCTCCTCCAAGTGTGGTTCCAAGGCAAACATCAAGCACAAGCCCGGTGAAGGAGATGTCAAGATTGAGAGCCAGAAGATGAACTTGAGGGAGAAGGCCCAGGCCAAGGTGGGATCCCGGATAAGGTGGGTCACCTGCCTGCAGGAGGCACCGTGAAGACTGAGGGATGTGGCAGCAAGGCCCCTCCGTGTCCAGGGCCCCCCAATGGGGAGGAGCTCTGAGGCTGCGCCTGATGCGAGGCCCCCCCCCCCCCGCTCCAGCTGGTGGCCTCAATGGCCTCATCACCCAGTCTGGGGGTGGTGACCAAAGGGAGGCCCAGACCTTGGACAGCCAGATCCAGGAGACAAGCATCTAATGATGACATTCTGGTCTCGTCTTCCGTCTCCCCTTTTAACCTCCTCTTGTCTTCCCCATTTCCCCTCCCGCCCCTCCTCTCCTGAACCTGCAGATTGAGACCTACAGGCTGACCTTCCGGGCAAATGCCAGGGCCCACACCGACCACGGGGCTGACATTGTCTCCCGGCCCCCTCACTTCCCTGGCTCCTGAGCCCTTGGCCCCCGCTCCCGGGCTGCCCACTAGACCTGTGAGTGCCCACTCGGGTGCCAGGCAGCCCTGCTAGGCCCCACCCCTAGCACCAGGCAGCCGCTGGCCTGGCCCCTTCCTGCTTTGCTCCTGTCCTGATGCTGGGCACTGCCCTGCTGTGGGGTAGGCAGGGGAGTTGGGGGGACTTTGTCGGATCTAGGAGGGAGGAACTGGATTCCTACTCCGTTGTTTGGTTTTTTGGACCAAACCTGAGAGAAACTGACACACCCTCCCTCCTCCCTGGCCAACCTGGAGGGATGAGCAGGGCAAGTGACCCTGCGCCTGCGCGGCTGCTTCCCTAGAGCCTGCTAAGCCTCCACTTTCCCCTGTGACCCCAGGATGGCGCCCTCCTGCTCCCCCGCATTAGTTAGGGGCCATGCTCCACGCTGCTGCTCACCGAATCTGCCTAGCCGCAGTTTCACCCTCCCTTAACCTGTAGCCAGTGGAGCTGCTGTGGAGGTCCAAGCCATGTCTAAGTGAGGGTCTCAGTAGGTGCGAAGGGAGTGGAGAGGGAGAAGCCAGGCCTCCACCAGGAGGATGAGGGTGTTGGTGCTGCCCTGCTTGGGGTGGCAGGGGGCCCTGGACGCTGGGGGCAGAGACCTGAGGTGCAGCCTGGGCATGGGCCGATGGCATGGGCTGGTTGTCTTGGAATTTCTTCGTGTGTACTCTGCTTCCTTTTCTAACAAGAGGCTGGGTTTGGCATCCCTCTGTCAAGTTCCCTGGGATTTGGTGGTCACTATTTGATGTGAGGGCAGTGCTGTAGAAGCAGGAGAGGGCCGTGGGGTCCCACAGCCTGATCTGCTACCCAGGGACACCCAAGGTTTCCCCCAGGGGACCTTGAGATGTCCAGTGTCGTATGGACAGTGGGGAATCAGGTCTGGAAATTGGAAAACAAGGCATGAGACCAGGGCCACCCACTCCCTTCTGGCCAAGTGGAGAGGCCAGCTGCAAGGAGATCCCGGATCGTATTGACACAAAGAATCTTATTGCACTTGTATTTTTTGTATTAAAAGTTTGCATGGTTTCTAATAAAGGATTAAAACGTTAAAAAAAGAGAAAACTTTTAATGAACACTGACATTTGAGTTGCATATAATTTCATATGTCTATTAAATAAAAGTTACAGAAGTTCATTGTTTTAGATTAAGCTCTTTTAGCCATTCTCTGCAAGAGATGCTAAAAATCAAAATGCTAAAGTTCTGCCTCAAAGAGCTGAAACTAAGCAGTTTTTCTGACCTTCAGAGAAGCAGGATTAGAGAGATAAAACTCAAATTTCCCCAACAATCCACTACCATTTGGCATGGTAATAAAGTTTCTTTTTCCTCAACTCTTACATGAAAAAAAGTAACCTAAAGAAAGTTATATTAACCAATCAGCTTTTTCTGATTTATTTATCTTTTTACCTTTGCTTTACAAGAACAATGTTGAAATGACAATTTTGCTAACCAGAGTCTCAAGGAAGCATTTATGCTTTTATGAAATGCTGACTCATTTTAAATAAAAAAAAATAGTTAAAATCTTTAAACTATTGTAATTTTGTCCTTTACCATAATGCTCATCCAAATTATTTTCTGCCCTTTAAAAATGTTGCAATGATTCTCCTCAGAGCGTATTGTACCAAAATCGGTGGTGACAAATTTGGCAGACTGATCCGCAGTCTCTGAGCCCTGATCTAGAAAGAAGCTCTACATGAAATACAGATCCCATTGTCTCTTGAAAAGAGGGGCTAAATATTCTTTGTTTCTTTGGTGGTTCACCGAATCGCTTATTTGAGGCATGTTTTTTTTTCCTTATACCCTGTACTCTGTTGGATCCAGTTCCTTGTAACCAAATTTGTACTTTGACAAGTACGGTGTCAGTGGTGTCATGGTGTCACTGGTAATATGGAGTCCATGTCCCTTTCTCTCCTTTTAGGAATTGATCATGGACCTTGTTTTGAACTCTGGAATGATGCAGACATGAACATGTCATTTGTCAGCTTAGGCCTTAAGGGAATACAAAAGAAAAAAAATTACATGCTTAATTACCTTTTCTCTTTTTTTCTGAGTATTAATATTAGAAAACTTGTAATTAGAAGTTTGTTTCCTATCTCCCTGCAACTGATGTAAACTTCTAAAATTTAATAAGCCCTCTTCCAGGTTTTAGACTTAGGAATATATTCTCAAGGACCTTGGTTTCATCTTCTTGGAAGGTCATTATTGAGAAAGATATCTCCCCAGTCTCCCAGTTAACTCAGGAAAGTAGGAGCTGAGCCTCTCAGGGCATCTCACTCCAGAATTATCTGTTGTCATAAACATAAGACATTTTTGTTCCATTGGATAAAGCCAGTTAGTTAACACACATGGTAACTCACAATATCACCTGCATTCAGGACAACTGTAACACATGATGCCATCAAGTACTGATACATGAGGCTTCATTATTTACTTGGAGAATATGTATTCAAAGTGTTGTTTTTGCTTGGAAATACAAAAAAAAACTGACCTTTTTACTCTATAATCTCTTGGCAAATTGCTTGTGATATGGTTCGCATTTTAGTTTAATGCTTATTTTATAATAAAATTATGCTCTTTCTCCGTTCTTGAGCAGGTTTTCTGGCTTGTGAGAACATTTGGTTTCCAGTTATATTTCTCTCACATCCTCTGGAAGCAGCATGGGCTTCTATTTGCTATAGGAGGCTCTTTTGCTAAGAAGACATGGGTAGCCTAGTGCATTACTATCAAAATAAAGGTTACAAACGGGTCTGATGCCAGCTGCACCTGCAGACTCCCTGCCCCACCTTCCGTGAAAGAAGCAGCTTGGCTGTTATCAACAGGACACACAGCTGTCTCTATCCCTTAATTTCAGTTGACTTCTAGGCCGTCCATAATCACAAAAGCTAAATAAGTGCTTTCTATTATACACTCATGAAATCTGTGATTACCTTTTTCATTTGGTTTCAACAAAATAGCTGAAGAGAACAATAGAAGAGTCAAGTCTTCTTAACTATCTACTACTTAACCTTCAGTGAGTTTCTTAAAAGTTGACGAACTTTGGCATATCATGTGGATAATATCTAATTCAGGAGCAATTTATTAATTAGAAGGACTGTGGCTGTACACTAGAAATATAGCAATCTGTTTCAAAAGCAGTAAAATTTTAATGTAGAAAAATATTTCTGATATTCAATGTTTAGAGATTTTTTTTCCCTTTTTAGAAAGACTTCTCTTTTTTTTGTTCATTTGTTTCATAATCTGTCCCATATACCTCTAACTTCCTTCAGTATACTAGGCTATGTTCTAGGTGACAAATTTTTTGGCGTGGCTAAAAAAATAGAAACATGAAATAGAAGTGTCCTTTATTTGAAGAATGTGGAGAGAGAACCCTCCCCACCACAACCACCATCATTGAGGTCTGCCTTTCTCTCTGCCAGACACGTAGTGTGGGGGCATATATATGGCTTAGGTTTGGGGTGGTGCCTAAGGGGCATTACTGATGCACAGGTAGCCCATTGGAATTCATTTTTAGCCTCAGGTAAATTGCCTAGGGGTGGGGAAGGTGACCTCAAAATAGAGCCCCTTGGTTCCATCTCCAGCCTCCCACTGCTGTAGAGTCCCATTTAGGGCAAAATCCTTTCATTAGGGAATAGAAATAAATTGATACCTAAAGTAGATGCTTTTTAATGTAGCTTATAATTTAGTTGGAGAGTTAGATAACAGACAAATATGTTTAACAACTGTAGCAAGGGTCAGAAGGGTTCTATGCAATGGTCTGAACTTATGACAGAGAGACCTAGCCTTGAATAATAGGTTAGAGAAAACGGGCCTAGACAATGCTATTTAAATTGATCTAGGTCCAACTGAACACAGAATAAATGATCATAGGGTCTTCCTACACAAAAAATGCCACTGCCTAGAATACACAGATAATTCTTCCCCACTTTTGTTAGCACTAACACTGTAATATAGAAAGTGGAGAGAAACAGAAGAAATCAAATTAGAATAGGTTATGTTTTACTGGAATTTCTCCCCGGAAATTTTAAAAAGAAATACCTGAAATATGGGCATAACAAATAATTTTATCTTCATGACTAAATTAAAGGATTTATGATGTCAACTGGTAACTAACCATGTCATGTTTTGTATTTCTGCTTTCATTTTCTGTCTTTTGGGGGTTCAGTTGTAAGGGAAATAAGAACAACCCAGTTTTCCACATAGGTAATTGTCAATAAACACAACCTATAATCCCTGCTTTCTCTAAGGAAATTTAGGTAAACAGAGTTGCAAACAAAACTGCATAGTGTGATTTTCATTACATATGATTGAATTATTTGCAAAGAAATTTTAAATTTTGATAATATAATACATTTTGTCTTTAAACTCTAAAGAAATTATAAAATTCTCAGTTGTTTCTCTAGATCATTATTTTAGTGATTTGCATACATTGCAACAGTTATAATCGGATCATTTCCAAGCTTAATCACCTCATACAAAATGCCATGTTTATCAAAAGCAAAAAATAAGTTGGTGAGTTAGAAGGATAGATTTCTTAGTCTTATTAAAAGGGAACAATGGAATAAAAGCAATTAAAATTATAACAGGAGTAAAACTTTGCAAACAATGTTATATTTCTTATTGAAGTTCCTTGCTGTAAACAATGTTATAATGTTCTGGATTTCTTATTCACTATAACAAATTTAGACAGATTATTCATAACCATTATTGCATTTCAAACTTGATTATCCTGAAAATGCTAGTATACATAAAAATCTTTAATAAAAGATTTTAATAAAAGTCCAATAGTCCAATGATAAATCCATATACTTTGCTTCCTTGAAGTTACATGTGAAAAGCATGAAGAAATAGTATCCTCAATAATTTT